CCTAAAATAGGTTCGACGTACAAAACGTTAGGAACTTGATATAATAGGTAATGACTCAGAGAAATCTAGTTGCGGTCGTTGATACTTTAGTATCCGACTAACGGTCGTCCGGCATCGACTGACTGACAAACTCGATATTTAGTCCCCCCCTCCCTCGTGGGCTCGGACAAAAAATGCCCATTGAACCCGTATAAACGGGTTCAGGGTAAAATTTTTACCTACCCGAAAAAGAAATTTATTCGGCGAAGCCTCTTTCGGGTTCCTCCCCGATCGAAGGCAGAGAGTTCAACCGATCAGCCAGTGGACTGACTGACCAATATCCAACTGAGCGACTCCTACTACTCCTACTTATTATAGGTGGGAGAGTCTATTAACTATAGAATAGGTGTGTTCCACTATAACAGTATGTATACCTGTTTTATAGGTTATACAAAATCGCTTAAAATAAAACTGTTGGAACTGCTAGATAAACTTGAATTACATGGGGAGGATATTAGAATAATTTAGAACTGAGAACTAACCGCCTTCATGTGGATAGAAAAAGAATTCAATAACTATACAAAAGTAGAAAGGGTCGTAAGACAAGGATGCGTCTTCTCGCCGGACTTATTCATCCTGAGTGAATTAGAAGTTGTTTTTTTTTTAATCATTTCACTCCAAGCAATACGGGAGTGCCACTAGTACGCAAGGGGCTAAAGAGAGTGTAAGTAAGGGAAAAGACAGGGTATAGGAAGTACTGCGGAAAGATGAACGCGATTCATGAAGATAGAAGATGGCGATTGACGTTGTATTAAAATTTAAGGTTGAGGAAAGAATAAAAAGAAGAACGTGGATCAAGGCAACAGAAGATATCGATTGACGTTACATTTAATTTTTTGAAGATTATAGTTATCAGGGAAGCAATTAAGAGGAAGGGAGATCCACTGTCGGGAAGTGCGAGAGAAGAAGCTGTTGGCGTAGAAGAGACGGTTACATTTAACTATTCCTACAGTAAATGAGTGAGACGAGATGCCAACCTAGTAGCACGCTTAAATTCACGCAGATGCGGTACCAGTGAAAATAGCTTGTCATAACAGATATCATGAAAATATTTATAGAAAGACAGAGGGAGGCCACATTATGTCAGTGAGAAAGTGACTGGAATCGAGACCCCAATTCAGGACCTGTCACATTACATATCCGTCAAGAACCTCGAGATGAACAGCGGGGGGCACTAGACCTTATATGGCAATAGTATTCCAGGCATGGACGAATGGTAGATTTGTATATGTGAAGGATGGACTTAAGCGAGAAAAATATTCTGTCGGGACACACAGAGAACCAACTTTTCTTTGCAGTCCTACCAGGATTCATCATTGAAGGCCACAATCTTAACAACATTAGATATGCAGATGACAGTGGTGATATAAGATACAAAAGGGAGGGCCCAATATGCAAATTACATATTAGAGATATCAAAATCAAGCAAGTACAACAATTTAGATATCTGGGAAGTGTTTTAACAGAGGACGGAAAATGTGACACTGAAATCCAAAGGTACGTTGGGATAGCGAAAAAATTAATAGTTGCGAAAATGTTTAATCTAAATAATTTAAGATAGAATAAAAACTAATAATAAAGAAAATAACTGTTAAAAAGTTAAGAAATCTGAAAGCAACAAAAATAACATAAAATATTAATAAATATATATATAAAAATATAAATAAAATATAAATATATATATATAAAATATTAATAAAATATTAGATAAAATGCTACAATAATAAGAGAGAGTCGACATTTGTCTGTATCGTAGGGTAATTGTGTTATGGAACTTTACCCATAATAACATAATGGACTATTCCATACTTTTATGGGACCTTACCCATAATAACATGATGGACTATTCCATACGTAATAAATACTGCGCCTCAAGAGGACGCAGAGAGTTCAGACTGACCCAACGAGGCTACGCCGAAGGGCGGATTCTCTTTCGGGGAGGTAAACCGACCCTGAACGCGTTTATACTGGTTCAAGGGCATATTTGTGCCACATGATGCCATCGTGTGTTGGGGGGGACTAAATATTTGTTCCGTCTGAAGTATGGGGGACCAAAGTTTGAAGTCTGGAGTGAAGTCCTTCAGGAGTCTGTCAGTCCCAAAAGAGCCATTAAGTCAGTCAGAGGCAGTCCGAAAAAGAGTCGCGTTCAGACAATTACTACAAGACATTGGAATAGTGATACTGGTCGAGACTATATTGTTCTCCCTACCAAACCTGATTGTTTGTACTAACACTTTCTACTTCTCCGTATATATTCCTGTTTGTAATATATCTGTTTTATTCCATATCCCTGTTCGAGTTCTTCTTTATTGGTTCTCCCTTGGACTATCACCGTGGTACAAGGACCTAGACCATAACAGTGGCGACGAGCGATTCGAACTCATTCGGTGGAAGAAAAAAAATTTTTCGTTTGCCACAGCATAACTCTGAACTACTTTCCAGTGCTATATACGATTTTGGATTCAGACTGGCTGACAGACATAACTGAAAAATAGTTTGTTCTACTATTTAACCCATATCTGGAGGAGAAGAGATGGATTTATAACTTCCTGAAAGGTATTTGTGTGTAAGTGAATGTAACGAACCCTACTGGAATTCGAACTCTGCTCTCTGATTTTTCATGCCGAAACGCGATTGCAGACAAGTATAAAAATGATCAAAAATGCTGGTGATCACCAGTACGACCTCTTTTTCTAAAAAAAAAAGCGATTATTTTAGAAAGGCTTGTATTTATATTTTCTCACCCCAAACACACAATTTATTTTTCATTGACACAAGGTCGGTTTAATGTACACCCGGGCATTTTACAAAATACCCAAGAGAGCCGCCGCCAACCGTCTATTGGACTGATCCCAGTTAAACTGAAATCGGTTCTCGCACCGATCCTTCTCTTTAATGCATGAGATTTAACGGATTCGGGCTGCTGATTTAATAGGGCCGGGCACCTCTCAGTATAATTTTCCTCAGTTAATTTTCTATCCTTTGAAAAAGCCTCCCCGTGATAATGCAATTTGGATAAATCTTTTGAAAAAGATAGACGCAAGCGATTTTATGATAAAATAAACGTTCTACAAATCACTCCAAGGAGTAATTTATAAAAGGAATTAAACAATTTTCTTAATTTTATACTTTATATTCAGACAAATTTTAAAAGTAACTTAAATTTTTAAAATATATTGTCGAAAAATGAAGCCATGTTAAAAACTGTATCCTTTCTATGGCGTTTTTATTTATTAAATCGCGCTTTACAAAAATATTAGAATAATTTCATCATTTTGCTTTGGTTTGTTTTACGGCTTATCAATCTCAATGGGTTATTTAATGCCGAAAAGATTTTTATTGCTGGTAAAAACAAAAAAAAGTATTTCTGCTAATGAATAATAAAACAATTAAAAAAAAATTTATTGCGTTTAATAATTTTTAAAAATTTGATGGTATTAAAACCTAAAAAATAGATTTTTTGACCCCAGTTTTGGATAACCATTTTCCCAAAAGTTGAAACATTTAACAGGTGCTACCACCGTTGGGGGTTAAAAAGACCTGGGAACACAATTAAGAGGGGGTTTCATGTTCCTCAAAACATTCTGATCAGATGGCTTTCTATTGAATGTAGTTTATCGTCTTACCCAGGACGACGATCAATTTGTTCAAAAACAACAAAGAAGAAGAGGAAGGCCTTCTCTATAAATAATATAAAGAAAGACAAAATATGTTCGAGACATCATTCTAACTGTGGTACATTTTGACTTAGTTTCGGAAATCATTTAGATTAAGCCATATCTTCGTTAACTGCTCCAGAAATGTAGACCTGTGCCAAAAATTGGTCAGATCCTAGAAAAAAAAAAGAAAAGAAAATACTATTTATAGCCCTACATGAATTCAGTGGATAACTTCAAGCCACTGGCTAATCGGATTTGGGCTAAATTCCGAAAAGTGGGAGCGGGAAATTATGCCACACGGTAGGATTGGCTCATGTTCCAAACAACGGTTCGTTTTCTTTAAATTTGGCAAATGTAGAACTGCTGCTGCTGCTGCTACTGGTAAAGAAACACATAGAAGTCTGAGAAGCCTACTGGTTTTTTTATTGATTCGACTTTACAAACATTCAGCATACAGATTTCTAAACAATTTCCAAATCTCGGAATCAGACGAGAAAAAAAGGTCAAACAAACGGAGCTTCAAGGAAGAACTATAGACGATTTGTCCATTTGCTTTTATGTCATACAGTAACACAACTATTTCTTTATTTCAGTTACAGACGTACATTTTTTTGTATTGCCAACTATTAATATCAAAATGGTGGCAAAGAAATTCTTTACAAAGAATAAAACAGTTTGCAAATCAGGAATTAACACCTTTGGATCCAGGTAATATGCTAGCAATTAAACAGATTATTGAAACTTCTAGGGGCAAGTAATGAGGATGCTTGGAAAATCTGATACCCACAGGAAAGAGGGACTGAGGAAAGCAGCGCGTAATATACTTGATGAGTTTGAGAAAATGGATGGCAGAATAGGGTTTCGAAGAAATAGGAAAAAGACAAAGCATATTAAGAGCTACAAGGCAGAAGATGTGGAGGGACATGATCCGGAAGATTTAAAAAAATTCAAAAAAAGAATAATCTAAAAATAGCTTTTTGATAAAATTTAAAATTTTTCACCAAAAAATTTTATCTTTAAATCTCTCTCTTTAAAATCCATTTACTATTCTCTTTCAGGCTTTCAATCAATTATCTCTATCCGTTTTTATTAGGATTTATCTATCTATTTTATATATTGCATATCAAATTTGATATTGTTTGAAACAACTTTTCACTGATAGCCTGAAATGCCAGTAATTCTGAAAGTCGGTGGATTAAATAGAAGGACCCATATCCATTTGTTTCTTTCAGTCAATTAATGAAAACAGGAAAATGAAAATAAAAAAAAAAAACCATCTGGCGATGGAAGTAAAATCCTGGAATGTGGATATCTGACTTTGGCAAAAGCAAAGTGCGGAATACTAACACGATCAAATTGGTGTGCCATCTATCTTTCTCTCTATCCATCATTTTGTTTTTTCCAGATCAAATTATTGATATTTATATATCTAAATATGATATATCTATCTATCTATCTATCTTATTTATCATCAGCCTGTTCATATCTATCTATCTATCTAATAAAAATTATTTTATTTATCAGCCTGTTCTATCTATCTATCTATCTATCTATCTAATTATCTTATTTATCTCAGCCTGTTCATATCTATCTATCTATCTATTATCTATCTATCTATCTATCTTATTTATCTCTATTTGTTTATCTATCTTCTATTCATCTATCATATCTATCTATCTATCTAATTATCTTATTTATCTCAGCCTGTTCATTATCTATCTATCTATATCTATCTATCTATCTATCTATCTATCTATCTAATATCATATCTATCTATCTGTTCATATTATTTATCTAGATTATTTATCTCATCTATTCATACATCTATCTATCTATCTATCTATTGTATCTATCTATCTATATCTATCTATTATCTTATTTATCTCAGCCATTGTTCATATCTATATCTAATATCTATCTATCTATTTTATTTATAGCCTGTTTATCATTATCTATCTATCTATCTATCTATCTATCTATATCTATCTATCTATCTATCTATCTAATTATCTATTTATCTCATCCTATCTGTCTATTCATCTTATCTATCTATCTATCTATCTATCTATAATATCTATCTATCTATCTATTTATCTCAGTTTGTTCATCTATCTATCTATCTATTCTATCTATTCATCTATCTATCTCATTATCTATTATTCTATCTAAATCGTTATCTATCTATCTATCTATGACATCTATCTATCTATCTATCTATCTAATTATCTTATTTATCTCATCTATGTTATCTATCTATCTATCTATTCATCTATATCTATCTATCTATCTATCTATCTATCTATCTATCTAATTATCTTATTTATCTCAGCCTGTTCATATCTATCTATCTATCTATCTATCTATCTATCTATCTAATTATCTTATTTATCTCAGCCTGTTCATATCTATCTATCTATCTATCTATCTATCTATCTATCTAATTATCTTATTTATCTCAGCCTGTTCATATCTATCTAATCTATAAATTTCTATCTGATATATCTATCTATGTATCTATCTAATTATCTTATTTATCTCAGCCTATCATATCTATCAATCTATCTATCACATGTATCTATCTACTTCTCTATCTATCTATCTATTAATTATCTTAATTATCTCAGCCTGTTCATATTTGAATCTATCTATCTATCTATCTAATTATCTTATTTATCTCAGCCTGTTCATATCTATCTATCTATTTATCTACTTAACTACCTATCTTAGTTTGCTAATTATATATCTATATCTATAACTCATATGTCTGTCTGTCTCTCTAGGATATCTCGCTTTTATTTTTCTCTATATATATATATATATATAAATATATATATATATATATATATATATATATATATATATATATATATATATATATACAGTCTTTTGAAAACAGAGAACAGATATATAGCCTTAAACAAAACGGACGTCATACCTAATTATATTGTTTTGGCCCAACACTTTTTCAAAGATATTCGTTAAAATATAAAATATGAATGAATACAAAGACACACTTAATAAATAAAATGAGGAGGAAAAGGTGGAATGCGACTAAAAACAAATTTTAATTACACAAAATTAAAATTAAAAAGTGGGGGTGGATGAAAATAAGTAGTTCCACAAGAGTTTAAAATAGAAAAAGGGAAACTCACAAACCCTACAAAAGACGTAAGGAACGTAAAAAATGTTCCTTTTGTCTACCTAGGCTAGGCTGTTGAGTGAGTTGTGAGTGGAGTTGTAGTGTGGAATTATCCTTTAATTGCTAGTGTTCCCAGGTCCACCTGACCCGGGGTGGTAGCACCTGTCAGGGTACCAGCTATGGGCAAATAGTTAACCCCCCCCCAAACACAATGAAAGTATAAAAATAGTGTTTAATACCAGCAATACTTTATGAGATAAATTATTACCAGCAACACATTTTTGAATGAAAAATTATTACCAGCAATACATTTATGAAAAAAAAAATATATTACCAACAATAAAAATCTTGTCAGCATTAAATAACCCATTGAGGTTGATATGCCGTAAAACCTAACAAACCAAACCTATTTATCTGACTGAAAATAAAACTGCCCCCTCCAATGGGCCATACTGTTTTTACATCTGTTTATGTTAGCCCGGGTAATAGATCATGTGATGGATTATTCAAAGTCTTCAACTAACTTTTTGCCATCGTCGGACTCATACAAATACACTGTCAGTATCTGAGCTTTAAACGGCGAAGTATGCTGTGATAAGTTTGAATTTGGCAAAATAATCTAATATAAGCAGGTGTCATGCCCCGAAGGCGCTCACAAGGTCCTTTTTTTTCTATTAAGGTCAGAGGGTCGGATTGAAGTCCTTCGACAGGATGGATTGTAATTTTGGAAAATTACTACACAAGTTGGACGTGAAATGTTGTTGGTGCTTTCGATGCTGGCAGCAGTGACCAGAGGAACATTTTATACAACCCTTAGATCGAGTTCTGGACGGCTACAAAATATAGATATACATACAAATCGACACTTTCTAAGGACTGTAGTGGCAGACCAAACGGTGTCCACAACACAGAGTAGAGAAAATGCTGCCTCCGGCATTAAGAATTTTCAGTCACAGACGTCGATCATCGTCTTACTTATAAAACGCATATTGTGTGTATGTGTGTGTGTCTGTACGTTTATATATTGGATCGGATTTCCAACAATTTTCAACCGATTTCAACAAAACTTCACTTTTTTTTGGCAGGTAGTGTTTCTTATTTTCTTGCACGCCTTTTTCTTTATTTTTACATTCAGAATGCTTTAAAAATTCCATTTACAAGACAATTGTTTATAATAAAATTCTATTCAATCGATAGACTCATAACGAAAAAAAACTAATTAAGACATGCGTGTGCGTCAACCTTAAACAATAATCTTTGTCAATTTTATTTTTCAGTCTTTATGATGTTCGATACTTGATCTATCTCTTACTGTTAGATCCCCGGGCAACGCCGGGCTCTACTGCTAGTTTATACTAAGATAGAAACTGTTAATATCAACGAAGGCAACAGAGTAACATTTGAACATGCAAGTGACCGCTTTCTCGCTGGAAATGTGTGTAGAAGCGGTTGAGCCAAACTTTGTGAATGAAATTAGACAGATTAAACCATCTATCGATGTAATAGAATGAAGTAACAAGTCATCGGGACCGAGGGTATTAGTGCACTGACCTTCTTCAACTATTTATCTTGCTTTAAATATGGTCTGTCTGCAAGAGGGATTGCCTAATCCCCTAAGCAGTCGGGTGAGGTAACAAATGAGTTACGAATCATTATATGTTTATATACACATTCCGCCCCCAAATTATGAAGGCGTGGCCTATTTTACTTATTTATTTATTTTTATTTTATTAAACTTTTTTTTTGAAGTGTGACCAGATGTTTCCAAGTTATTTTTAGTAGGTTTTGCGTAGTTGTCAATTTTAATTTTTATCAGGCTATGTAGGAATTCTAAGGAACTTTAGGTATACATGCTACATAGAATATGAGTTGTGACGTAATGGATAATGGCTCGGAATGAGGAATCGTAGAACCGTGTTCAAATTCCATTCACTTACACGCAAATACATTTGGGAAAGTTATAGATCCATCTCTTCGTCTCCTAGCTATGGTCTGAATAGCAGAACAAAATGGCGATGGTCTCTAGATGAATTTAAGCTCAGTTCTAGATTGGTAGCAATGTTTCATTAATCCACAGTTGAATTGGCGATTTGTTTTTTAAAAAATGATAATTGTTTCTTCTAAGTTCGCAGTTTCTTGCTTTGGAATTTCTTCCATTTTTTTTTCAAGTCAACTTTAATCTTCAAAAATTTGAATGCAATGTCAATCGGTATCTACTGTCTTCTTGATTACACTTCTTCTAATGGCCTTGCTTCTTAATAATGTTTCTCTTTTTTCTTATTTCTTAGTCTTTCACAGTAACCCGTTGTGTCTTAGTGGCTTTACTACCTTGCTTGGCCTGATATGATTTTAAAATCACCCGTGTATAAATCGATCTAGTCAAAAAAAACTTTGAAAAAAATTTTGAAATAAGTAAATAAATGTAAAGACTATTTAGATTATTTACAGGTGGAATATTGTAGGTATGACGTAGCAATGGATAGCGAGTTTGACTGAGGATTTGGCGAGCTGAGTTCGAATTCCATTCGAGTTTATTACATTCAATTACGTGCAAATACTCTTGAGAAAGTTATGAATCCATCTGGCTACAGATAATTCGTAGGACAGGGAGGGTCATATAAGGCCATGGTTGGTAGCTAGGCTACCGCAGAAAGAAACGATAGCCTACTGCGGGAACGCTTTCTGCTGGTCAGGAATGGAAAAAGACGCGTGTATCATATACAATACTGAATCGACTGACCAATGTGCTATAAGGGCATCTCTGCATAGTTAAGTTCCTTCAACCCTTTTGATTTTTTCTGTTTAGTTTGCTAAGGCAATAAAATATGTTGTTAATTTTACGTAGTTGTTTGTATCTTCATTCTTACTCTTTTCTGGTTCTGATTTACCCACCAAAGAGAACCCTACCTGTCTCCTATCAGCATGGCTGATGCTGAACCCCACGGGAGCGTCTCTCCGCGCCTTGTTGGTCTCCCGTTTTCCACTGACCTGAGATGAAACAGCTACATTGAATTAATAGCTTCATCTGCCGCAAGCAAAGCATGTTCTCTATGTATAATAAAAAAAGGTTTTTCTCACCTGAGTCCGTCATCCAAATCTACAAATCTACAATTCTTCCTTGCATTGGATACTCTGGCCATATATAGTCTGATGTCCCCACTGTTTATCTCGATGTCTTCGACAAAATTCAGAGACGGATATGCAATGTAATAGGCCCTGATCTGGCATCTCGTCTACAGTCACGGATGTGATGTGCCTTCCCTCTGTCTTTTCTACAAATATTTTCATGGCAACTGCTCTGACGAGCTACTTTCACTGGCACCCCAACTGTATAAATTTAAGCGTGCTACTAGGTTGGCATCTCGGTCCCACCCTTTCATTGTCGAAACAGTTAAATGTAACTGCCTCTTCTACCCCAACAGCTTCTTCTCTCGCACTTCTCGCCAGTGGAACTCCCTTCCTCATACTTGCTTCCATGATAGCTATAATTTTCAAATATTCAAATTAATGTCAATCGATATTTTCTGATGCCATGATCCTGATCCCCGTCCTTCTCTATATCCATTGCTCACCCCACCCCCATTTACTCTTGCTCTCACTCTTTGTAACCACTTGTATGCTAGCCTTGCTTGGGGTGAAATGCTTATAAAAACAAAAACTGTACCTTGTTATAAACAAATGGATATTCTTCAATAAATATTGTGCTCGAATCTTCTTTCAACTGCGACAATAGTAAAAAAAATATCTAATAACATTTGCTTTATGTTGAGCACCCAATTAAATGTATATAATATAATATTTGGAAAAGAAAAACATATTTTTTTATCGTTGGAAAAATATTTATCCGTTGAAATATTCGCCGATTTAACAGAAATAAAATAAAAAAGATTTTATATTCATTTTTTACACAAACAAAAAAGGATTATTCCTGATGTATTTTTTTTTTTTACATTCTTTTCAAACTACAATTCAAAATCTGAAGTGTCACGTGTCTCTTATTATCCAAGTTGCTTCTTCAGTGCTTCACACT